CGGGCCCCCGATGCGCCCCCTTATGGACACTTTTTCCCAAGTGGCAGCTGAATGGTAACACCAGCCCCGCCCCCTCTGCCTCGAGCGAGCCACAGCAGCAACCCACCCGCCCATTGGTCGGCCGCTTGGCCCCAAGCCAATCGCACTATTGAAGAGGGGCTTCCATATACTTCCAGCAATGGCAGGGAAATCGCTTCTTCCTGCACTCCCAAGCTCCATGTAGCCCTGGGGAGAGGCATCGGTCTCTCACCTACTCCCTCCCACAGTACCTTGAAACCTTCTCCTGGAGGAAAGGTTATCCCATGGGAAGTTTGGTTGCGGTAGCTCTTATAGTGTCCAAATTATTAGAGCACAAACATACAGGCGTTCTCCTTTATATATTAGATATTCCCAGGAAAAAACCTAAATTAAGTCTAACTATGTCAAGAGTGTTTATAAGTATAGAGTCGTAATTTACCCCACTCCCCCCAAACGAGTACAATAAAAGCTGTGTTGTCCATCACTTTATTAGCCAGAAAGCTCTATTAACCTGTATTTTTGCTTTCCCAATACTACTCTTTAGTTTAATAACTGGATTAGTAAACTGCCCAGGAGGTTATATAATTGCACATTTGACACTAATCAGATTGGTCAAGCATGTGAATCCATGCTGACTATTCCTAATCACTTTCCTCTCCTCCAAGTGCCTCAAAATGGATTCCTTAAGAATCCCTTTCATGATTTTTCCAGGAACCGAGGTAAGACTGACTGGCCTATAGTTCCCTGGATCGTCCTTCTTGCCTTTTTCGAAGATGGGCACTACATTTGCCTTTTTCCAGTCATCCGGGATCTCTCCTGATCTCCACAACTTTTCAAAGATAATGGTCAAAGGCTCCTCAATGACATTTGCCAACTCTCTCAGTACCCTCGGATACATTAAGTCTGGACCAATGGATTTGTATACGTTTAGCTTTTCTAAATAGTTCCTAGCCTGTTCTTTACCCACCAAGGGCTGTCCATATTCATCCCATCTTGGGTCACTTAGCGCATTAGTCCAGGAGCCCACCTTTTCCGTGAATACAGAGGCAAAAGAAAGCATTGAGTACTTAAGCTTTCCGTACATCATCTGTCACTAGGTTACCGCCTTCATCCAGTAGGGGCCACACACCCTCTCTGATCACCAAAACAAGTAGTCTATAGCATTAACTGATAAACAAAAAGCTTATCGGTTAATTGACTACACTATTACATCCCTAGCACAGTGGGCCTGGTCCAGGCGTGTCACCAACAAGCACCATTTAATCAACTAAACTTAATTGTTAACCAGTTAACTAATTAAATGATCTTTTACATCCCTACTCTGAATGCTGGTATTCCATTGATAAGTGTAACTCTTGATTAACCAGAACCCCACATTTGTCCAACATGCCAGATAACAAAACCACAGGAAATTCACAATTAAGGTTACTCTTATCACTTTCCCCAAACATTTAAGTATGGAGACACAGAATTAGGCCACCCAAACACTTTTAACCAGAAAGAAAGATGCACACAATGAGGATTTTGCATTTCTAGGCTTGTAATGCCAGACTACTGGGAAGAAAAGCATTCAACTATTTGTCAATTTCCCTCCCTTCCCTCTGGGTATCATCACAGGGCAGAGCGAGTTTTCACTAGACCTACTAAACAGCAAAAGTCTTTCCTCTCCACCAGTGAAAGGCAGCCCAAGAAACTTGATCCCAGAGAACAATAAAATACTTACGGCCACAAAACTCCTGCAGAGGCGACCACTCTGAGCTCTGAAGGCACTGGGCAGTGTCGGACATGCCAGGGATTTTAACAAAGTCCTTCCTACATCTGTAGGTAACAGGTGTGCCAACAGGGAAACTCTCCATCTGACCGATAGTAGGGATGGCACGAGTCAATGTGGGTAGGGGCCCACAGTCACCTGGGGACCAAACACAAGCCGTTTTAACAGACCGGGTTTTTCGAGCACCAGAAAGCTCCTCCGCACATCAGGGGATTTCCCAGCTGCTAGAGCCGGGCGCTGAGTACATCTGTAGGTAACAGGTGTGCCAACAGGGAAACTCTCCATCTGACCGATAGTAGGGATGGCACGAGTCAATGTGGGTAGGGGCCCACAGTCACCTGGGGACCAAACACAAGCCGTTTTAACAGACCGGGTTTTTCGAGCACCAGAAAGCTCCTCCGCACATCAGGGGATTTCCCAGCTGCTAGAGCCGGGCGCTGAGGGCTTGACCTCCAGCACTAGCCACGCCGCAGGGAGCACAAGAACAATAGCGATCGCCACCCCGCCGTGTGCTTCTCCCACCGAGGGCAGCCCCTGCGAGGGATCCCCCCCGACCTCCAGGGGCAGGAAGAGAGCCGCCTCCGGCAGCCCCCGCTCCTCCCACACCGCGACA